ACTTTCGGCCGGATGGCCGAAAGTCTAAGTCAATTTCGGCCGAAACCGAAGAAAAACCGAAAGTTAACTTTTCTCTTTCGGCCGAAACCGAAATTAAGCCGAAAGTTAACTTTCCAGTTTCGGCCGAAACCGAAACTTGGCCGAAAGGGATAAAATGGCCACTTTCGGCGCCGAAACCGAAGCCGAAATTCGGTCGGCCTCTAACTGAAAAGTAGTATCCGAGAGGGCAGCAAAGGAATGACGAGAACCTAAATTTGGCATAAGAGCCGGGAATCGAAACATTATATAAGAACCACTTAACTAGCATATTGAAGATAGAGCTGACGAAATATATTACTGTAATACTGCTACTATTGAGTACTATTGAAGCGATATCTAGCTATCTAGCGATATCATTGGTGAAAAGAAATGGCAACATTATAACAATACTTCGTAATTCGTACACAACATTGCGTAATATTTTTACATAAATGGAGATATAAATATGCTATTTTTGGACTGTCAGATGGAGCTAAAACTATTCACTGCAATGGCCTTGGCCGTGAGATAAGATAAGACAAATGGAAATAAGACAAGCAAGTCATCGCTCCCTAAAGTACGGACAAGCCGGACGACGAGAGGAAAGTACGGACCTGTCGTCAGCCCAGCCCTATCAATCATATTTCCTGTCCTCAGCCCAGCCCTATCAAACATATTTCCTGTCCTCAGCCCAGCCCTATCAATCATATTTCCTGTCCTCAGCCCTATCAAACATATTTCCTGTCCTCAGCCCTATCAAACATATTTCCTGTCCGCAGCCCTATCAAACATATTTCCTGTCCTCATCTCAGCCCTATCAAACATATTTCCTGTCCTCAGCCTTATCAAACATATTTCCTGTCTTCAGCTCAGCCCTATCAAACATATTTCCTGTCCTCAGCTCAGCCCTATCAAACATATTTCCTGTCCTCAGCCTTATCAAACATATTTCCTGTCTTCATCTCAGCCATATCAAACATATTTCCTGTCCTCAGCCTTATCAAACATATTTCCTGTCCTCATCTCAGCCATATCAAACATATTTCCTGTCCTCATCTCAGCCCTATCAAACATATTTCCTGTCTTCAGCTCAGCCTTATCAAACATATTTCCTGTCCTCAGCCCTATCAAACATATTTCCTGTCCTCAGCCTTATCAACCATATTTCCTGTCTTCATCTCAGCCCTATCAAACATATTTCCTGTCCTCAGCCTTATCAAACATATTTCCTGTCTTCATCTCAGCCATATCAAACATATTTCCTGTCCTCAGCCTTATCAAACATATTTCCTGTCCTCATCTCAGCCCTATCAAACATATTTCCTGTCCTCAGCCTTATCAAACATATTTCCTGTCTTCATCTCAGCCCTATCAAACATATTTCCTGTCCTCAGCCTTATCAAACATATTTCCTGTCTTCATCTCAGCCCTATCAAACATATTTCCTGTCCTCAGCCTTATCAAACATATTTCCTGTCTTCATCTCAGCCATATCAAACATATTTCCTGTCCTCAGCCTTATCAAACATATTTCCTGTCCTCATCTCAGCCATATTAAACATATTTCCTGTCCTCAGCTCAGCCCTATCAAACATATTTCCTGTCCTCAGCTCAGCCCTATCAAACATATTTCCTGTCCTCAGCCCTATCAAACATATTTCCTGTCCTCAGCCCTATCAAACATATTTCCTGTCCTCAGCCCTATCAAACATATTTCCTGTCCTCAGCTCAGCCCTATCAAACATATTTCCTGTCCTCAGCTCATGAAATCATCTTTAGATTGAAGCAACCTGAGCTAGTACTCACTAGTTTCAATAGATTTAACATGTTGCAGTGTCCAATAAAATCAATGATCAAATTTCTTTCAAACAACTTTTAATAGATACCCCGGTACTAAATTAAATGAAGACACACAAAGTACTATTTTACTGTTCATTTGGGAACATGCCTACTTCAGCAGAACTTCATTGGCTAACTTAAAGTGTGATACATTTTTTGAGTGAAAAGTTCATTTGGTGGTAGTAGTAGGGATATGACTAATAAAATATAACATGAGACAGGAATATAAGATGGCACCATTCCCCACTTGACCAAACTTGAGAGGCATGATATGCTTCCATGTCATCTTCATTGCTGATTAACAAATAGAGTACTGTTACTGATTACTTAATATTAACAAATTGAGTATTGTTACTGATCTGATTATTGAGGATTGTTACTGATCTGATTATTGAGTATTGTTACTGATCTGATTATTGAGTATTGTTACTGATCTGATTATTGAGTATTGTTACTGATCTGATTATTGAGTATTGTTACTGATCTGATTATTGAGTATTGTTACTGATCTGATTATTGAGTATTGTTACTGATCTGATTATTGAGTATTGTTACTGATCTGATTATTGAGTATTGTTACTGATCTGATTATTGAGTATTGTTACTGATCTGATTATTGAGGATTGTTACTGATCTGATTATTGAGTATTGTTACTGATCTGATTATTGAGGATTGTTACTGATCTGATTATTGAGGATTGTTACTGATCTGATTATTGAGGATTGTTACTGATCTGATTATTGAGGATTGTTACTGATCTGATTATTGAGGATTGTTACTGATCTGATTACTTAATGTTAACAAATTGAGTATTGTTACTGATCTGATTACTTCATATTAACAAATTGAGTATTGTTACTGATCCAGTTACTTAATATTAACAAATTGAGTATTGTTACTGATCTGATTACTTAATATTAACAAATTGAGTACTGTTATAAGACTTGTGAAGCACATTTATGGATCAAGTAGTCTAGCCTATCTTTATACTGCCATTTGCCTAGCCTATCATTAAAAGCCATTTGATCAAAGCTTGCAGGCACTTGGTCTGACCATATATTTGATTTCCCTTGTTTCTTTAATTCAAACGCTTCCAGCTTATGTCCAGTCTACAGCTTGTGTAAGTACAGTCTACAGCTGATGTCCAGTCTACAGCTGATGTCCAGTCTACAGCTAATGTCCAGTCTACAGCTAATGTCCAGTCTACAGCTAATGTCCTTATTATAATGTCAAAAAGAATATAAAGAAAAGAACACCTGTTTGTGTTTTCCATCAATTATTTAGAAATATTTATTTTTGAAGATAAAAATAACCCATTTCAAAGGTTCTATCTAACACAAATAAAAATAACTTATTAGTTAGTGAAGCAAAACTGTAAATGTTAGGATTGCATCCATGTTAAAGTCCTCTTCAATATACAATATTGGAAAAGCAATAATAAGCTTCATCAATTTAACAACGGACTTACTTCCATTTCCATTACATAAATATCCTGCTTGTAAACAAATGGCAGAAAAGAGGCTAACAGACAACAAAAAAGGAGCTGCTTATTACATGAGTAGATTAATCTCAGTTCATAGGTCAATCTCAGTCGAGAACAATGCCTTGTTCAAGCATACCATAAAAACTGGTATTTGATTAGATCCACAAAACATCTCTTCACTGTTAATGGCAAAATGGTCTGTCACAAAACATCTCTTCACTGTTAATGGCAAAATGGTCTGTCACAAAACATCTCTTCACTGTTAATGGCAAAATGGTCTGTCACAAAACATCTCTTCACTGTTAATGGCAAAATGGTCTGTCACAAAACATTTCTCCACTGTTAATGGCAAAATGGTCTGTCAATAAGACTGCTGTTCATTGTTGTTTATTGAGTTAGAAGAAATTATCATACAAGTATGGGATTATAATCTAATTATCATACAAGTATGGGATTAGAATCTAATTATCCTACAAGTATGGGATTAGAATCTAATTATCATACAAGTATGGGATTAGAATCTAATTATCATACAAGTATGGGATTAGAATCTAATTATCATACAAGTATGGGATTAGAATCTAATTATCATACAAGTATGGGATTAGAATCCAATTATCCTACACGTATGGGATTATAATCTAATTATCCTAAAAGTATGGGGTAATAATCTAATTATCATACAAGTATGGGATTATAATCTAATTATCATACAAGCATGGGATTATAATCTATTTATCATACAATTATGGGATTATAATCTAATTATACAAGTATGGGATTATAATCTAATTATCATACAAGTATGGGATTATAATCTAATTAGCATACAAGTATGGGATTATAATCTAATTAGCATTAGGAAAAAAAAACTTAATAAATTCTAACCTTAAAAAAAAGAAAAAGTTCATGTATTTTCTTACTGTTAGAAATAATGTATAAATTAAACATTAAATAAATTTTAACCATTTGAAAAGGATGCCCACAATGTAAATCTCACTGTAGATAATCTGACAATGTACTACAATATACAATCTTAATCAGAATTACAATATACAATCTTAATCACAATTACAATATACAATTTTCATTACAATTACAAACAATTACAATTTAAGTCAAACATTTTTCAAAAGAAAACAAAAAAGGGGAACTATTATTGAAGATTCTGATGGATTAAAGTACATTGCGAGCGTGACAACAGGTTAGTCTTAAAACTTCTTTTCCGATAAGGACACTAAAGAATTAAAACACCAAAGAAATAGAGAGATAAGAAAGGGAACATTTGAAAGTGAGACTTGTTCACAGCACAACAGAAAGTTTGACAAATAGACAAAGATTATTCCACAATAAATATGACTGATTTATTGATGTCACTGTACAGACGATTCATTTTAAGTCTGCTTAACAAGAAGGCAAAAACTGCAAATATTTGGATCAACTAAAATGTATAAATTATTATGCTGCGACAAATTAAACTGCTGTCTAAACTCCTATTAAAGACAGATGCCATGGATGCACAACTGGTGTTTCAATCATAAATGAAACCATATGTTGGTGTCAGATGTTTCATCATTGTCTGCACACTGCATAGGAAGGCTGCCTTGATATTAAGTGGGCCATCTTTCTTGTGTTCCTTTAAAAGCTAGTTTCGTCCAACTAAAGTTCTGAGCTGCCTTCATCGAAACAATACATCAAGTCAATAAACAAGAGGACCTTGACATAAGAGGACATTGACATACATAATTCAACAGAGTCTTAGGTCAATAGCCAGAGAAATTCACATGATTGCATATGATGTGTCAATCCTTCAGACATTTACCAGGAGAAGGACAGACTCTGCCAGCTGTTTGCTACAATATGCCACATATTCCACATTTTTTAAATCCATACTGCAATTGAGCATGATAGCTGATTCCCAATATCTTTGATGACATACATTTTATGTCTGAGCTGCAAATAATAGTACCGGTACAGCATATACTTTGCCCCTGGCAAGAAAATCTGTTTGGCTGAGAGATTATCTGGGATCATAAGTTTAGTCTTGTCACTGAGGAGACTTGGAGGCATGAGCATCAGAGATATTTTTAACCCTATTGAAAGTAAGCCATTGGATGAAGTGTGTATAAGTTACTCCGCCATATATTATCAATCATGAACTTAATACATTGACAAATGATCATCTATAAATATTTTATTCAAACGCAACAAAAATGTTGTATGTTTAGCCCATTGTCCATACTCACATTTCAATAAGTAAAAAGCATGTTTATAAATTGCTAGAAATCTGTTCAACAAAGCAGGTTAAGAAGACATGTATTCAAAACCTAGTATTCCAAATAACATCTACCACAAGATGGTTGCACACACACAAACCAAAGCACTTTTTTCCCATTAACAATTATGCATATACATTATTACTCAAAGAGGTAGCTATATTAATAATATTGGAGGTAGCTACAATTTGTATATTAAAATTAGAGGTAGCCACAAAATGGTTTAAATGACAGAGTTTTCCAGGACAAAAGGATCAGACCGTGGAATAAAAAGAGGTATGTTATTTAGGATCACTATAAATATTTTTTTCCAGCTAATAGATTCATGATGAGGTAATCTTATACTCCTTTAGAAAATAATTGAATTTAAGAAATATGAATTAACAGAATTATTTGCAATAATGGCATTCATAAAATGTATCGGTAGTAGGCATTCATAAATTGTAATAGGCATATATAAATTTTAATAGAAATTACATCCATTACTATCTGAATGTCGTCAATGCCAGCTACAATACATGGCATTGCTGGCTCATCAGTAATACAATCAAAACTCATAGATGGTATGCCTGGCTCATCATTTTTTCAAACTTTCTGTATGGCTCAGTAAAACATTCAAACACAAAAGAGCTCTCCACTTTCTTATAAAATCAAAGTTAAACTGAATTATTACAATACTTTAAAAATACAGTCTGGCTGCACCAAAAAGGACATTTTTGGATTGATTAAATTTTTTGGTAAAAAGTTTTGGAGATGGGGTAGGTTGGGGTGTGGTAAGGTGGGGTGAGGTGGGGTAAGGTGGGATGGGGTGAGGTGGGGTAGGACAAGTTGGGGTAGGGTAGGGTGGGCGTGGATGGTTTAAAGGGTAGTAGAATTTAAAAAATGTTGTGACAGAATTAAATTGCTTACAAATGGAGTCAGATTATTTGGAAGTGTGGAGTTAAAGTGCTAATGATTGACTAACTGTTGCCAGCGGGTCATGAACTGCTGCCTTGCACTGTCTTAAAGTTGTCCATCACAGCTTTGAGCACAGCCTCTGCCGAATCAAGACAGCCATCAAATGTTGATAGAGAGAAACCATCACCAGCTAAAATCACAAGTGGATTGGTGCTAATGACAACACATCCTGGAGTTCCTTCGTATGCTTGATGAACCTGGGAACCAATGAGACATTGCTTTCATAGACTAGCTTTATGAACCAGGGAACCAATGAGACATTGCTTTCATAGACTAGCTTGATGAACCAGAGAACCAATGAGACATTGCTTTTATAGACTAGCTTGATGAACCAGGGAACCAATGAGACATCATAGACCAGCTTGATGAACCAGGGAACAAATGAGACATTGCTGTCATAGACTAGCTTTATGAACCAGGGAACCAATGAGACATTGCTTTTATAGACTAGCTTGATGAACCTGGGAAACATTGAGACATTGCTTTCATAGACTAGCTTAATGAACCTGGGAACCAATGAGACATTGCTTTCATAGACTAGCTTGATGAACCTGGGAACCAATGAGACATTGCTTTCATAGACTAGCTTTATGAACAGGGAACCAATGAGACATTGCTTTTATAGACTAGCTTGATGAACCTGGGAAACATTGAGACATTGCTTTCATAGACTAGCTTGATGAACCTGGGAACCAATGAGACATTGCTTTCATAGACTAGCTTGATGAACCTGGGAACCAATGAGACATTGCTTTCATAGACTAGCTTGATGAACCTGGGAACCAATGAGACATTGCTTTCATAGACTAGCTTGATGAACAGGGAACCAATGAGACATTGCTTTCATAGACTAGCTTGATGAACCTGGGAACCAATGAGACATTGCTTTCATAGACTAGCTTGATGAACCTGGGAACCAATAAGACATTGCTTTCATAGACTAGCTTGATGAACCTGGGAACCAATGAGACATTGCTTTCATAGACTAGCTTGATGTCACATTTTCTTACAACCCATCCCCCAGGTTGGCCCTGAACATTTCTGGAACCACTCTTTTTGTACATACAAATGAGATATTTCACCTCTGTACACATGAGATATTTCACCTCTGTACACATGAGATATTTCACCTCTGTACACATGAGATATTTCACCTCTGTACACATGAGATATTTCACTTCCGTACACATGAGATATTTCACCTCTGTACACATGAGATATTTCACCTCTGTACACATGAGATATTTCACCTCTGTACACATGAGATATTTCACTTCCATACACATGAGATATTTCACCCCTGTACACATGAGATATTTCACTTCTGTACACATGAGATTTTTCACCTCTGTACACATGAGATATTTCACCTCCATACACATGAGATATTTCACCTCCATACACATGATATATTTCACCTCTGTACACATGAGATATTTCACCTCCATACACATGAGATATTTCACCTCCGTACACATGAGATATTTCACCTCTGTACACATGAGATATTTCACCTCTGTACACATGAGATACTTCACCTCCGTACACCTGAGATATTTTACCTCTGTACACATGAGATATTTCACCTCCGTTCACATGAGATATTTCACCTCCATACGCATGAAATATTTCACCTCCGTACGCATGAGATATTTCACCTCCGTACGCATGAGATATGTCACCTCCGTATGCATGAGATATTTCACCTCCGTACGCATGAGATATTTCACCTCCATACACATGAGATGTTTTACCTCCATACACATGAGATACTTCACCTCCGTACACATGAGATATTTCACCTCCCGTCCAAAAAGACAACGAAAGATTCCCCTTAAATAGTGTTTTTTGGCAGCAATTGGCCTATCAATTACAATCTTTGGTTCAGTCTTTATTGGCCTAGCAATTACAATCTTTGGTTCAGTCTTTATTGGCCTAGCAATTACAATCTTTGGTTCAGTCTTTATTGGCCTATCAATTACAATCTTTGGTTCAGTCTTTATTGGCCTAGCAATTACAATCTTTGGTTCAGTCTTTATTGGCCTAGCAATTACAATCTTTGGTTCAGTCTTTATTGGCCTAGCAATTACAATCTTTGGTTCAGTCTTTATTGGCCTAGCAATTACAATCTTTGGTTCAGTCTTTATTGGCCTAGCAATTACAATCTTTGGTTCAGTCTTTATTAGCCTAGCAATTACAATCTTTGGTTCAGTCTTTATTGGCCTAGCAATTACAATCTTTGGTTCAGTCTTTATTGGCCTAGCAATTACAATCTTTGGTTCAGTCTTTATTAGCCTAGCAATTACAATCTTTGGTTCAGTCTTTATTAGCCTAGCAATTACAATCTTTGGTTCAGTCTTTATTAGCCTAGCAATTACAATCTTTGGTTCAGTCCAACAAAATATTTTCTTCACAAATTACATAACACACACAGAAACGTGATTAGGTAAATGGTGGACTTAAATTTGAAACCAGGCTAAATATAACATTGTAATATCTAGTTTAATTGTGAAAAACAAAGCAACAATATGGCTAGAGGATGGTTGACTGCATGAGAGGCATAAAATGATATATGGACTGCCTGAATTTCACAATTGTTATTGTAAAAAATGTCTTCATAAATGTAGAATGTATAGTATAGCCAAGGCTCCCCGATATTCATAAAATCTCCAGAGTTAACAACCTCCCCATTAGTGTATAAGTCAAATAATTCTACTGATGAATCTAATCTGTCATATAATTCTACTAATAAATCAAATCCTTCGTATAATTCTACTGATGAATCTAATCTGTCATATAATTCTACTAATAAATCAAATCCTTCATATAATTCTGCTGATGAATCTAATCTGTCATATAATGATACTAATGAATCTAATCTGTCATATACTTCAAATGATGAATCAAATCGGTCATTTAATTCTGCTAATGAATCTAATCTGTTGTATAATCCTACTGATAAATCTAATTTGTCATATAATCCTAATGTTGAACCTAATCTGACATATAATTCTACTGATGAATCTAATCTGTCACATAATTCTCAAGATCAGTCTATCAAATATTTCAGACAATTATTCAGTGTAATAATTCAGTCAATAATTCAATTAATCTACCTTCAAAGTTCTAGTGAAAGCGTAATGCTAGCTGAGAATATTGTATGCTACCTGAGATTATTGTATTGCTACCTTTGATTATTGTATTTTTACCTGAGAATAACCATTACTGTAATGCTACCTGGGAAAACCATTATGCTACCTGAGAAAAATGTTATGCTACCTGGGAAAACTGTTATGCTACCTGAGAAAACTGTTATGCTACCTGAGAATATCGCCAACGTTGAGGTTTCATACTGATGGGTTTAGGCAACTCTGGCAAAATGTTACGGACGTGGCCGAGAATCTCCTCCTTGACAAAGTTCATGTCCTCCTCCAGGTGTGCCAGGCCAAATGGAACGCTGGTGTGAAGCACAATAGATTTACCTTGGTTGACTTGGCCTGCCAGAAACAACAACTCCATTTTAACACTAGGGAACTCTTTCCTTTTCAGCTGCTTTGGATTGTTTGCAACAGTAGGATTGCTAGCAGTTGAAGTGTGCTAATGGGCATGGTGTTAAATAGCAGTTGAAGTGTGCTAATGGGCATGGTGTTAAATATCAGTTGATGTGTGCTAATGGTCATGGTGTTAATTAGCAGTTGATATGTGCTAATGGGCATGGTGTTAAATAGCAGTTGATGTGTGCTAATGGGCATGGTGTTAAATAGCAGTTGATGTGTGCTAATGGACATGGTGTTAAATAGCACTTGATATGTGCTAATGGACATGTGTTAAATAGCAGATAAAGTGTGCTAATGGGCATGGTGTTAAATAGCAGATGAAGTGTGCTAATGGGCATGGTGTTAAATAGCAGTTGATGTGTGCTAATGGGCATGGTGTTAAATAGCAGTTGATATGTGCTAATGGACATGGTGTTAAATAGCAGTTGATATGTGCTAATGGGCATGGTGTTAAATAGCAGTTGATATGTGCTAATGGGCAAGGTGTTAAATAGCTGTTGATGTATGCTAATGAGCATGGTGTTAAATAGCAGTTGATATGTGCTAATGGGCATGGTGTTAAATAGCAGTTGATATGTGCTAATGGGCATGGTGTTAAATAGCAGTTGATATGTGCTAATGGGCATGGTGTTAAATAGCAGTTGATATGTGCTAATGGGCATGGTGTTAAATAGCAGTTGATATGTGCTAATGGGCATGGTGTTAAATAGCAGTTGATATGTGCTAATGGGCATGGTGTTAAATAGCAGTTGATATGAGCTAATGGGCATGGTGTTAAATAGCAGTTGATATGTGCTAATGGGCATGGTGTTAAATAGCAGTTGATATGTGCTAATGGGCATGGTGTAAAATAGAAGTTGATATGTGCTAATGGGCATGGTGTTAAATAGCAGTTGATGTGTGCTAATGGACATGGTGTTAAATAGCAGATGAAGTGTGCTAATGGGCATGGTGTTAAATAGCAGGTGAAGTGTGCTAATGGGCATGGTGTTAAATAGCAGTTGAAGTGTGCTAATGGCATGGTGTTAAATAGCAGTTGAAGTGTGCTAATGGACATGGTGTTAAATAGCAGCTGAAGTGTGCTAATGGGCATGGTGTTAAATAGCAGTTGAAGTGTGCTAATGGGCATGGTGTTAAATAGCAGATGAAGTGTGCTAATGGGCATGGTGTTAAATAGCAGTTGAAGTGTGCTAATGGACATGGTGTTAAATAGCAGATGAAGTGTGCTAATGGGCATGGTGTTAAAAAGCAGTTGAAGTGTGCTAATGGGCATAATGTTAAATAGCAGATGAAGTGTGCTAATGGGCATGGTGTTAAATAGCAGTTGAAGTGTGCTAATGGGCATGGTGTCAAATAGCAGATGAAGTGTGCTAATGGACATGTGTTAAATAGCAGATGAAGTGTGCTAATGGGCATGGTGTTAAATAGCAGTTGAAGTGTGCTAATGGGCATGGTGTTAAATAGCAGTTGAAGTGTGCTAATGGGCATGGTGTTAAATAGCAGTTGATATGTGCTAATGGGCATGGTGTTAAATAGCAGTTGATGTGTGCTAATGGACATGGTGTTAAATAGCAGTTGAAATGTGCTAATGGACATGTGTTAATAGCAGATGAAGTGTGCTAATGGGCATGGTGTTAAATAGCAGTTGATGTGTGCTAATGGACATGGTGTTAAATAGCAGTTGATATGTGCTAATGGACATGTGTTAATAGCAGATGAAGTGTGCTAATGGGCATGGTGTTAAATAGCAGTTGGTGTGTGCTAATGGACATGTGTTAAATAGCAGATGAAGTGTGCTAATGGGCATGGTGTTAAATAGTAGTTGATGTATGCTAATGGGCATGGTGTTAAATAGTAGTTGATGTATGCTAATGGGCATGGTGTTAAATAGCAGTTGATATGTGCTAATGGGCATGGTGTTAAATAGCAGTTGATATGTACTAATGGGCATGGTGTTAAATAGCAGTTGATATGTGCTAATGGGCATGGTGTTAAATAGAAGTTGATATGTGCTAATGGGCATGGTGTTAAATAGCAGTTGATGTGTGCTAATGGACATGGTGTTAAATAGCACTTGATATGTGCTAATGGGCAAGGTTTTTAATAGCAGTTGAAGTGTGCTAATGGGCATGGTGTTAAATAGCAGTTATGTGTGCTAATGGAAATGGTGAATCTAACAAATACCACAGAGTTTCTAATAACACCTTGATACATCATACAACAAATCCTACAACTACCTCGGTTGTTATCTAGTTGCACATCTTTTAAATAAAATAGAAAATTTCAAGAAATTTCTTTTAAAAATCCCATTTTAACACTAATCTGTCACTGTGCATTTTCTGCTTTAAAAAGCAGGGAATGATTGGAATCATTAAAAAGAAAAGTTTTCTGAAGCACTGCTCTATCCTAGAGAGAGAAATCAGTGTGCGGGTTAAATGGAATTACTGAAAAAACTAATATTTTTTAATACCATTCCTAAGCATTAACACAAATTTGTCAAAATAAGAGGGTTGACCGATGGAGGAAATGTTCACTAAGTTCAACCCTGTTAGACGCCCTCTTTAATAATGAGATAATACAAATTTATTTTTTACGTAGCTAGATTATGGGCATGGTGTTTAACAGCAGTTGATATGTAATTATGGGAGCGATTATGGGAGCGATTATGGGAGTGATTAGTAAAACGCTTAGAAAATAAACCTGATGTTGCTTCCCGAAGAGCCATAAAATACTTACGTATTTTTTCTAACTAACATTAAACAAATCGACCTACTGATTCCACGTTTAGCTTGGTCGATTGCGATGTATCGAAGGCAAGGATTATCCGAGATGTACTTGGCACACCAACGGTAATTCAGCTCAGTCCTTTGTGGGAAGAAAAGTCCCAGTGCGTATCTGGAGGAATAGGACACATTCTGCAACTTTTTCTTCATATCTGGACAGTTTCCTAGGTAGAGTGAAACAACGAACGATTAGTTCAACTGTCATAATGGATTAAACAATTGAATTGTCAAAAGCTGGTAAAATGTAGTAGTACAATTAAACTGTCACATGATGCTGATCATTTGCACTGTCACATACAGCTGATTAATTAAACTGTCACATGTGGGTGATCAAATAAACTGTCACATACTGCTGATCAATTAAGTTGTAAGTTAAGTAGTTGACCATTAGCTTTGACATTGACAATAAAATGAGCAAGACATAATAAATTATTCTATTTACTGAAATGTTGCTTTTTCTGTAATTTTTCATACTGTCGTACATTTAATTTTTTTTCTTGGTGCGGTTGTTGATCACACAGGTTGGCATATTTCATGATATATGTTATGGTATACAGGTAAAAGTAGCACATGTGTAGCCCCAGGTTATACAGGTAAACATAGTACAAGTGTAGTCCCAGGTTATACAGGTAAAAGTAGCACAAGTGTAGCCCCAGGTTATACAGGTAAACATAGTACAAGTGTAGTCCCAGGTTATACAGGTAAAAGTAGCACAAGTGTAGTCCCAGGTTATACAGGTAAAAGTAGCACAAGTGTAGTCCCAGGTTATACAGGTAAAAGTAGCACAAGTGTAGTCCCAGGTTATACAGGTAAAAGTAGCACAAGTGTAGTCCCAGGTTATACAGGTAAAAGTAGCACAAGTGTAGTCCCAGGTTATACAGGTAAAAGTAGCACAAGTGTAGTCCCAGGTTATACAGGTAAAAGTAGCACAAGTGTAGTCCCAGGTTATACAGGTAAAAGTAGCACAAGTGTAGTCCCAGGTTATACAGGTAAAAGTAGCACAAGTGTAGTCCCAGGTTATACAGGTAAAAGTAGCACAAGTGTAGTCCCAGGTTATACAGGTAAAAGTAGCACAAGTGTAGTCCCAGGTTATACAGGTAAAAGTAGCACAAGTGTAGTCCCAGGTTATACAGGTAAAAGTAGCACAAGTGTAGCCCCAGGTTATACAGGTAAAAGTAGCACAAGTGTAGCCCCAGGTTATACAGGTAAAAGTAGCACAAGTGTAGCCCCAGGTTATACAGGTAAAAGTAGCACAAGTGTAGCCCCAGGTTATACAGGTAAAAGTAGCACAAGTGTAGCCCCAGGTTATACAGGTAAAAGTAGCACAAGTGTAGCCCCAGGTTAAACAGGTAAAAGTAGCACAAGTGTAGTCCCAGGTTAAACAGGTAGAAAAAACATAACAGGAGCAACATATCTTTGACAAACATAACAGGAGTGACATGTTTGACAAACATAACAGGAGTGACATGTTTGACAAACATAACAGGAGTGACATGTTTGACAAACATAACAGGAGTGACATGTTTGACAAACATAACAGGAGTGACATGTTTGACAAAAATAACAGGAGTGACATGTTTGACAAAAATAACAGGAGTGACATGTTTGACAAAAATAACAGGAGTGACATGTTTGACAAAAATAACAGGAGTGACATGTTTGACAAACATAACAGTAGTGACATGTTTGACAAAAATAACAGGAGTGACATGTTTGACAAAAATAACAGGAGTGACATGTTTGACAAAAATAACAGGAGTGACATGTTTGACAAAAATAACAGGAGTGACATGTTTGACAAAAATAACAGGAGTGACATGTTTGACAAAAATAACAGGAGTGACATGTTTGACAAACATAACAGTAGTGACATGTTTGACAAAAATAACAGGAGTGACATGTTTGACAAACATAACAGTAGTGACATGTTTGACAAAAATAACAGGAGTGACATGTTTGACAAAAATAACAGGAGTGACATGTTTGACAAACATAACAGTAGTGACATGTTTGACAAAAATAACAGGAGTGACATGTTTGACAAAAATAACAGGAGTGACATGTTTGACAAAAATAACAGGAGTGACATGTTTGACAAAAATAACAGGAGTGACATGTTTGACAAACATAACAGGAGTGACATGTTTGACAAACATAACAGGAGTGACATGTTTGACAAACATAACAGGAGTGACATGTTTGACAAACATAACAGGAGTGACATGTTTGACAAACATAACAGGAGTGACATCTTTGACAAAAATAACAGTAGTGACATGTTTGACAAACATAACAGGAGTGACATCTTTGATACAATAATTATAAATATATTTAATATATGGTAGAGAGGGCATATACTGGCCGTACTCCTGAATTTTATAGGAGATACATAGATGACGGCATAGGTATGAATGACTAGCATGGAAACTAATGATCACCAAAAATTTATGGATTTTTAAAACTCATTTCACTCATCAATAAAATTTAAGTCTCAAATCTCTCGACATTCGGTCAACTTTCTCAATATCCCCATAACATTGAAAGAAAACGAATTAATCACATCTGCCGACTACAAACCAACTGACAGCCATAGTTACATATTGATTATATCCTCCCACCCCAAATCATGCAAAGACTCCATACCTTTCTCACAATTTCTCTGACTACGGCGCCTCTGCCAGCTTGCTGAGGACTTTTTGGAAAGAGCTGATGAAATGAAGGATTTCTTCCACTCCAGATCCTATCCTGAATCTACTCTTGTCTCAGCACTAGGTCGCATCAACACTCTCACACGGAAAGATGCTTTCAAACCTCGTCAAAACAACAATGAAGATTGTACCAAATTTATACTAACCTTCAACCCTCACAATTTAACAGCCCAAAAAATATTCAAAAAAAAAACTTCTTGCTGACCCCGATACTTACAGGGTCTTCTCATCCCCTCCACTGATTGTCTTTAGACGGGACAAAAATCTAGGTGACCTTCTGGTTCATGGTCGCCTTCTATCTGACCTATCTTACTGCTTAAGAAGCCGCAGTAGGACTTGTCCCTTTACACACCAAACTGAAAGCATTAGCCTCCCTAAAGGTACCTTTACCATTAAAGAGGGTTTCACCTGCATCGCCGTAATGTCATATATGCGATTGTGTGCCGTAGATGCCAACCTAGTTACATAGGTGAAACTGGGAGAAGATTGGCTGATAGGTTCGCTGAACATCTCCGGGATATTGAACAAGGTAAACTTTCCCCAGTCTCTTCACATTTCAACAGAGACGAACAAAGGTGCATTAGATGTAACAATTAAGGCACTGATTTCCTAACACACCAGAGAGGGTAAAAATGGAAATAAATTTATTCAGCTGTTTGGCACCATATCTCCATATGGTATTTATCCAATACCATCCTACTAATGCAGGGGTCTCCAAATTTTTCAGCCCGAGGGCCGCATTAACTATCAAACAGCATTTCGGGGGCCGACTACACAATCGAAGTCCAAATAAAAAAGAATCAAAACATGGATGTTGTTTTTAATTAGTTCTGTTATATAATTCCATTCAGTTATTTTTTTCAATAACACATTGACACATGAACACCTGTGAATTGTGAAATTGTTTCATGAATGCCAAAATAGCAGTGATTAGCAGACATTTCTGGATTTAGATTTGCTGTCCCTAACATCAACAGTGACCTGAGATTACCATCGCACAAATTTGTTTTCAACGTGTTCTTTACGTTTTTTCATTCATGAAAATGTTTGCTCACACAGGCATGTTGCTCTAAGGATTGAAAGGTACATTGATGCAAATGTTTTGAAATTAGGTAAGTCTTCTTTGGGCGAAAACTAGTTAAAAACTCGCGGATCCTTCTTTGAACGTGTCCCTAAGGAGGTCATTTGCTTGCAACTCAATGACCTTCAGGTACAGTTCATCTGGGCAGCTGGCCACATCTGCTTTAAATGGATTTTGAAAGAGTCTCACTTCTTCTGCCTTTGAATCCAAGTCAGAAAACCGCTGCTGACACTGTAGCTGGGGGTCTTTGATGATCTCTCATGCAAATGACGTGGGGAACTCCGCTGTTGCTTCAGGCATGAAAGTGAAAGTGTGTCAAGTTGTTAGCCTGTACTTGTTCCAAAGTAAAGACAAGTTTGGATCTGAAAGCCTCTAGGTGGGTGACATGTCTCTGAACTGTCTATGGTTGAGCCCATGTGCACTTATTAAAGTAACCCAATTTACCACAGGATTCAGTACGCTGCTAATGTCCACATATTTAGTACAACAAGCTTTCTGTTGAATAATACTGTTCAGGATCACTGGTTGCAGAATTTTTTTCTCATTACTCATCTGCTTCATGTGTCCAACCAAGCCTTTCTTTATGCCACTCATGTTCTTTCCTCCATCAACAGTCAGGCAAATAGGCTAGTCCAGTCCAAGTTATAATCAGCAAATGTTTTGTTTTCAACTCATTGAATATATCCTCTCCGGTAACAGTGTCGTACATGCTATGTAGGGAAGCCAGCTCTTGTGTTATGTTCATGTCTTCATCCACACCTCTAATGAACACAAGCAGTTGTGAGGTGGAACAGTTGTCCAGCGATTCATCCATGGAAATTAAAAATTGGCGAAACTTGCTTGCATTTTTCTCTATTTGAGTCACAATGTTTTCTCCCATGTCTGCAACACGGCGGGCAAAGATCCACCACTAGATGGCGTTATATCATCTCATTGACTGTGAACGGAAGTAGAAAAACTAAGCAGCGAATAAGGTTGTGCCAAGTAATGATTGGTTAGAAAACCTAACGCGCTACTGCGCGCCTCTATTTTAATTCGGTAAAAACATAACGTCCACGTAAGCGACGTCTGATCTTGGCAGGATACACATAAATTTCCGTAACTTTTTCCGTAGACAAAAAGGTCTCTGCGGGCCGCATGAGAGGGCCTCGCGGGCCGCATGTGGCCCACGGGCCGTAGTTTGGAGACCCTGTACTAATGTTTCTCTGTTTCCCTGTATTTCTACTATCTTCTTATTGCTGTGTGTTTATGTATTCCTGGACATTCTGGTCCATTATTATTGAGGAACTTATTTTTCACTGTGTCAATATTTATATTCTCTCACTTCTTGTAATCCTACTTCCAGCAACAACAATGGATATTTCTTGAGTTGTTTACTGTGCTCTGTTCCCGGCGATATTTCCATTTGTCTTATGCACTGAAGAAGGCTCTATGCCGAAACATTCAAATCTTATTGTCCTGTCCTTTAATTCAAACTTCAACACACCTTGTTTTGCTATTTCATTGACATCTTTGACAAACATAACAGAAGTGACATCTTTGACAAACATAACAGAAGTGACATCTTTGACAAACATAACAGAAGTGACATCTTTGACAAACATAACAGAAGTGACATCTTTGACAAACATAACAGAAGTGACATCTTTGACAAACATAACAGAAGTGACATCTTTGACAAACATAACAGAAGTGACAAATTTGACAGCCATAACAGGAGCAAATTGTCAGACATTTCTTTTGCTGCCCTCACGGATCCTACTTTTCAGCTAACTGCTAGTTTTTAATTTAATTCTTTTTTTTCTGTTGTTCGTTCGCTGGCAAAGGCTTGCCGAAACATTTGTTGTTTTGTTGCGTTCCTTTTTTCAATTTTTACCACATTTTAATTTACGATTCATGGAGCTTTCAAGGATAAAGAGGAAGGGGAAGCCCAAAAACACCCGTAGAAGAGAGGTCATCAAAGATGTAATTGAGATTGGAAAAAGTTAGAAAAAATTAGGGAAGGTAGCAGTACCGGTAACAAGAAACTAAAGGCTTGGAAAGGATTAGGGAAGATAGCGGTAACAAGAAACCAAAAGACTTGGAAATAAATTATTAAGGACCTATGCCCCCTTGCTGAGAGTTGAGACATACAAAATAAAGTTACCTATCCACTCATGCAAAGATCCTTTGAGTTGCAAGACCTGTGGCACAGGAATGGTGAGTATGACAACATCAAAGTCCTCTGACCTGTCCTCTTGCGTTGTCACAGACACTGGACTACAGTTATCAAAAGATATCTCAGAAACTTGATGCTGGTATTTGACTGTAGCCTCTGAAATGAGATTCGTAGCTAGCACCTACAGACAATTTCATAAATGAAGGTAATAATTTTTTTTTTTTTAAATGGTCCGTAATTTTTTAAAAATTGAGTAAGGTAAATTAATGAAAGACTGTGTTCAAGCTGTGTGAATAACATACGTACATAGCATGAATAAGGTAACCCATTTTTTAGGCGATTTCAATATTCTTAAACTTGGATTAGTTAGGTTATTTAAGCCTGAATTCCGTTGAATAAGTAGATGAATAACTTTTTAAAACAAAGTTGAGGTATTTTCAATTCCCGAGCATTTAAAAAGCACCAGTGGTGCTGAAGTGGTGCTACCAGTAAGTCGTAATAACTAACCACTTTTTATGGCCAACCAACTTACTTTATGAATAGCAAAGACATAAAAAAAATAATGGTGACTAGACCGCAGACAAATGGTCAAAAAAGCAGCTGGTGACTAGACTACAGACAAATGGTCAGAGAGAGAGCTGGTGACTAGACTACAGACAAATGGTCAGAGAGAGAGCTGGTGACTAGACTACAGACAAATGGTCAGAGAGAGAGCTGGTGACTAGACTACAGACAAATGGTCAGAGAGAGAGCTGGTGACTAGACTACAGACAAATGGTCAGAGAGAGAGCTGGTGACTAGACTACAGACAAATGGTCAGAGAGAGAGCTGGTGACTAGACTACAGACAAATGGTCAGAGAGAGAGCTGGTGACTAGACTACAGACAAATGGTCAAAAAGACAGCTGGAGACTAGACTACAGACAAATGAACAAAAAGGAAGTTGGTGACTAGACCACAGACAAATAGTCAAAAAGGCAGCTGGTGACTAGACCACAGACAAATGGTCGAAAAGACAGTCGGTGACTAGACTACAGACAATGGTCAAAAAGTCAGCTGGACCTAACAATGAATACAAGATGAATTACTTGAGACTTAAAAAATTCCATTCATGTTACTATAAATTGAAAGAAGTTTTAAGTTGTATTCTCAATCATGTTTTATTGGTTTCCATTGACTTCCTTTCCTTTGTTTACTCACGTAAGAAACAGCTATTTTCTTTAACAATATCCTCTATCGTAGCCTGTCTAACAAGTAATATATTGTAACCTGTCTAATACATCCTCTATTGTAGCCCGTCTAACATATCATGTATTGTAACCTGTCTAATATGTAATCTTTTGTAACCTGTCTAATATGTCATCTATTTTAGCCCAGCTATCATGTCATCTATTGTAACCTGTCTAATATGTCATCTATTGTAACCTGTCTAATATGTCATCTTTTGTAACCTGTCTAATATGTCATCTATTGTAGCCCAGCTATCATGTCATCTATTGTAACCTGTCTAATATGTCATCTAATGTAACCTGTCTAATATGTCATCTATTGTAACCTGTCTAATATGTCATCTTTTGTAACCTGTCTAATATGTCATCTATTGTAGCCCAGCTATCATGTCATCTATTGTAACCTGTCTAATATGTCATCTAATGTAACCTGTCTAATATGTCATCTATTGTAACCTGTCTAATATGTCATCTTTTGTAACCTGTCTAATATGTCATCTATTGTAACCTGTCTAACATGTCATCTATTGTAGCATGTCTAACATGTCATCTATCGCAACCTGTCTAACATGTCATCTATTGTAGCCTGTCTAACATGTCATCTATTGTAACCTGTCTAACATATCATCTATCTTAGCCTGCCTAACATGGCATCTATTGTAACCAGTCTAACATGTAATCTATTGTAACCTGTCTTATATGTCATCTATTGTAGCCCAACAGGTCATCTATTGTAACCTATATAACATGTCATCTATTGTAACCTGCCTATTCTGCCAACTGCTGAAATGTGTGTATAATTTAAAATTATTACATACTTGGGGTAAGAACACCCTCCCCCATCTACATACCAACTTACTTGATTTCTGTAAGAAATATTTGACCAGAGAGCTGGAACCTTGAGGTGTGACAAAATGTTGAGCACCTGGCTGATTGAAATCATTAGGTCCCTCAATTTGTCCTTGCAATGGAGTAAAGATCCCGTGAGCAATGAGTTCATCATAAGTGCTAAAATAGGTTATTAGGTATTTATTATATTATATTGAAGGAGTTTTCCAAATAAGATTCAAACAATTCAACAACCTCTAAAGACAAAGGTTTTGGTATAAATCATTGATGACATGTAATATGGAGCAAGGGGTTGGGGGGGGGGGTGAAAATTTGACTAACATGCAAACAACTAAAGCAATTATATAAGAAGCCCAATTTTTGCTCCCACACCTTCTCCCCATGGCTCGCAAAAGAACATTTTTTTCATGCCCTTGAACTATATTACTATTCTAATGACCCACCCGCTTTTACATCACAGATTTATTTCACCAACAATTTCAGAAAAACAAAATAAAATATTATGCCCCAAACGAACTTGTGATATTTTTCTTAAAAGAATCTCATTTAGCACCGTTATCAGGAATTTTATTTCGTGAAATCAGTGTCTTCATATTTTCCTCATCTACCCACTTAAAAACAGGAAAAAACTGATTTTGGTGGTTGGTGGCTGAAAATTTGAAAGAATGTGTTGTCATTGGCTAAGAGTCTATGTGCCAAGTTTCAGCTCAATAGGTTGACAGGAAGTGGGTTAATTAGCCATCTAAAGATTTTGCTATAATGGATTTAGAAATAGATTTCCTTTCTTTTGGATATTAAAATAAGTAGATATAGCTTATATTCCCTATTTTAATCAGACCACTGATGACATAACGGCACTATCAGGTAATACTCTCATTTTCATCATCAAAATCCATCAGAAAATGGAGTTAAAAGTTGATCAAGATCATCTATTCATAGATATGTCACAAAGCAATGGTGGTTGTTCCATACATTGACCCACGCAAGTGAGCATGCTGACATAGTGAGACAGCATGCTGACGAGTAATGGAGAACATACAATAAAGGATAATAAAAAAAGCAATAATCCGTTTAAAATGGCATTTCTAAAACAGATAAGTCGGTTTGCCTGATAAAACAGAGTTAACACCCTTGCACCGATACAAGTGACTTTTGTTAATTTAGTTTTAAACTTGAGCTTTATGGTATTTAAAGATTTCATACAGGCCAACTACAAGCAAAAACCTTTTGCTCTTGGTGCCTTGATGTCTAGGTCTTTTCTTTCTTAGTGTTATTTGGGTGCCTTGAGGTTTAGGTCTTTTCTTAGTGTTATTTGGGTGCCTTAAGGTTTAGGTCTTTTCTTAGTGTTATCTGGGACATTTATTCTAAAAATGGATCAGATTCATAGTAACAGCTCTAGTATTATCATACCCACTCTAGTTTTTTTTTACTAATATAGTTTTCTCCATATAAGGTCACATTTGCTGAATTAAGATATATAAAGCTTTATTATTTAAATGGTAAATGGATGTAGTTAAATTACCATCATTTTGTGTCATTACTAAGACATTTGTCTACTTCATTCAGACATTTGTCTACTTCATTAAGAAATTTGTATACCGGTACATCATTACATTTGTCTACTTCATTAAGACATTTGTCTGCTTCATCCAGACATAATTTGTCTACTTCATTAAGACATTTGTCTACTTCATTAAGACATTTGTCTACTTCATTACGACTTTGTCTACTTCATTAAGACCTTTGTTTGCTTCATTAAGACATTTTTCTACTTCATTAAGAAATGTGTCTTCTTCACTAAGACATTTGTCTGCTTTTCTAAGACCTTTTGTCTTCTTCATTAAGACATTTGTCTACTTCATCAAGTCTACTTCAGTCGACAAATGCTTGCCTCCAGACTTAAAGAAGAGAAAAAAAAAAGAATGAATTTCAGCCTTGAATAAACATGGCATTTCATCTTAGGAGAGAAGAGGTTCTGCTCTAATTTTCTTTTTACCCAAAACAAGAACTTCTATTATGCAATGACATCAGAAACCCTCTGACGAACATTGGCCTTTGAGAATACAACCCAAGAATGTGGCGTCTTTATCTCAACAGACAAAACACAGATTGAAACGTTTTCTTTTAATAAATGGGAACAAATAGGATGCTCATTGGTCAATGCCCTAGGATGAAAGATAAAAACCAGACAATTTCTTTACCCTTTGAAAATATAAATTACAAAAAAACATAGGTGGATGATTTGTGTAGACTTGAAAATGATTGTTTTCTCCTTTGTTTATAAAGTGGCCACGTGACGTATTCTTGACTCTAGTAGAGCCAAAGTGGCCATGTGACGTATTCTTGACTCTAGTAGAGCCAAACATGAAAATTAGGCAAGAATTGGCCTCTGAATGAAATTTGGTCATAGGGTAAAGCCAATAAAAAAAAGATTTATTACACGCTGTAGAATCATTCTACTGTATTTATTAAAAACCTAGGACTGTCTGATAAAACGATTTGTAAATGCTTTGAATTAAATTGAATAAAGCGTTCACTGCACATTGAATATGGACTTATCACAGAGAAACTGAAAACTGGAGTTTTTTTATACTGATAGATTAGAAAATGCATTGATGACCCATCTTTCATAGAACTATAATAGAAAATTGCATCATCTTCCCCGACTTCATTTATTCTTCTTGAGGAAAATTTTATTGCACTCACTTAGATTGGGGCTCAGAGTAAAATGAAAGAATTCTCCATGACATATACATGCACCATAGCCAAATATCAAGGAAGATAAAATGCGTATATAATGGAGATTTTTGTTGGAATCTTATTCACCATTGTCCTGAAAGATCCTACCTGAAGAAGTCTAACACAAGAAGCTTCACTTGTGTAGAGTAATAATGCAAGCACTCAGTTAAATCTAAGCTTTTTGGTCTAAAATAAAAGACATATTTATATAGCAGAATCTTCTTTAAATAATTATTATTATGCTTCATGCTTAAAAATGATATTTGTTCAAAATCTCAAAAACTAGAGCTCACTGGAAACAACCGGTGGTATGATTTGGAATCAGTGGAATAAACTAACTTAGAAACAGGTCTAACGTATGAGACACCAAATTTTGTTTGGCCAGTGTTCAAAGTAACTATGGCAGCTCTTTGTTGTGTGCTATCTCAACTGAACACTTTCTGTGCCATCTCAACTGCACACTTTCTGTGCCATCTCAACTGAACACTTTCTGTGCCATCTCAACTGCACACTTTCTGTGCCATCTCAACTGAACACTTTCTGTGCCATCTCAACTGAAGACTTTACCAGTCACATTTAATATAAATAGTCGTTATTTTCTTGTTTGTTATCTTTTAACCCGCAAACATTTTCTTCCAACAAAACTGTGAATGATTGTCAGAATGTAAATAACGGGTCATACTCCTACCTCTGTCTCTTTGCACTGTACTCCTGGGTAAGAGTAAAGTACTGAGCACCAAGATCCGCCGTAATCGATGCGTCTTCAGGACATCTAGTTGTTGTCATCCGACCACCTAAAAATTTAAGACAGAACCTTAGTATGTGTAAGTAAATTGAGATTGTGGACTTTTTAAAAACCATTAATATCAAAGTTTCTTTCTTCAGTCTGAGCAAAGAAGAACAACAACTTGCAAGACCTTTCGGTGGCCTCAGTATGTCATACAAAAAAACAATTTTTGAACCTATCTTCATTTTATTTTAATACATTTGTTTTTACTTCTGAGATCTGTATAGGGGTCAACTTTTAGATTTTAGAAAATAAAAAAATGCTATTATTAGACATTAATTACCGTACCGGTATTTAATTACAATGAAGGGGAAGAATAGTACTTAAATTATTCAAACCAAAATACTTAAAATTCCAAATAAAAAAAAGTATAGTGGGACCTTGACATACAAGTGCCTTAACATGCGAGATTTTTGAGATACAAGACGTCGAGCGAGTGATGTTTTGCTTTGAAATACAAGAAACATTTGAGATACGAGAAAATGGGTCTGCCTGCTGCACACGACACACCAGTCGTGCCTTGTGCGACACACATCGCCGCTATTCGGACCCGGGTCCCATTAGACTAAATGCTATTCGAATGTCATTTGTGGTAGTTTATTTTAGTTAAACTGAAGAATTAGGTTTACAAACATATAGTATATAGTTATATAGTTCATTAAATTATCTATGATTCTATACCAAATTTTATCTTACAAACCAAATAATAATATTTTAAATATTTTTTAATAAACCCAACTTCTCACTTCTGGGTCCGAAAAGCCGCAGCCTAACTATAATTTTTATATACATATTATTTTAACATATGCCTTGTCCTGTGTGATTAGACTTAAAAGTTTACACCTTCTAGTGTTCTGTAATCTTTGGAATTAGGAAAATATTGAAACTACACAAACTGTGATTAGTTATATTTGGAATTAGGAAAATATTGAAACTTAATAGTATAATTTAGTATTTATTATAATTAATTATTAAGTATGGTATCCGTCAAAAACCTGCTCCTCGCGCTTTGTCCCAAATGAAAATGCTTGTATTGTCGGGAAGATGCTGGCGCAACATTGATGCTGTTGCAGCGCCAGTCATCCCACTCCCGACAAGCAGGACTTTCGCCATATTTTTCAACATAAGCAATGGATGTTCGATTTTCTCACAGAATCTTCAAGTTGAACACAGAAGCTATTTGTTATGATTCCTATTATTATTACTCTGCTAACTAGAGGTCAAAGGACACAATTCTCAAGTTGTTCCTATTTCAGTACAGATTACTATGGTCCATTTATTAGAGGCATATTTATCATGGCAAAGCTGGCAACATCGTATTCAAAGACTGTTCCAGCTATGCACCTATTAACTTTAACTATGCCAATTATAGTATAGCCCCGATATAAATTTTCCTGGAAACTTTACCTGGTGACTTAGTCCAGGGGCGTCTACATAAGGGTGGGGAGGGGGGATAAAGGAAGAGAGAGCTTTTGGTACTCCACTACCAGTAGCTTCTAGTTCTAGGTGGCTAATGGTAGTTTACTATAAAAAAACTATCAATTGGTGATAATGATAAATTGATGTAGTGAATTAAATGAAGTGCAGTATTGACTAAGTCTAATAATATCGTTAGTCCCAATTTATTTTTAATTACATCACTGAAATCACTCAAGAGTATTTTTAGGCCTATGTTGCAAAAAAAAACAACAAAAAACAAAAATGTATTGTTTGTGTCTAGTCTCAAAATTCACTCCAATCGGATTTTAAAGACATAATACTCTTATTTTTCTTGCTTTGCATATATTTTATTTTATTTATGTATCTCTGCTTATGTTTTCCTAAAAATTATGTGCACTTTAAAACAGTGATTCTCCACTTTTGCCTTGGCAAAAAAGAAGCTGGGTAACATTTTTTTAGACTATGATTTCCTTCGCCCCATCATCCTACATCTATCTACAGGCTTTTAGGTCTATATTATAAATGATAATTATATAGCAATATCGCCAAATCTGAGCACGAGGAAGGCTAAAGCACACAGTGTTAAGACAGTAATATGTGATGTTATAAGCAGTGCCGAAGTGTTGACATTAGTACGAACTAGTAATAAATGAACAGGGCAATACTTGGTCAGCGCCAATGAAAGCGGGGGTTTAAAGCTATGATTTTGGTTTGATTTGAATGGCTGGACTAAAAATAGCTCTCTAGAACCTATTGGTAGTTTACTACAAATAGCACCCTGCCCTAAGGACTGGCTTATAAAATATAGAGTGTAAGTTAGTAAACTACCAAAAGACACTTTCTTCTAACTTACTCTCTCTATATCAGCCAGTCCTAGCCAAGAGATTTTTTCTTCATTTTCTAGACTTTGTAAGACATAATCCACTTACAAGATTGCACACTTAATGTGTGTGTAATTTCATATTTGTATATTTCAAGGATTTTCTTACTCACTTGCTGAGCTGTAAGTTGAAATAGTTTTTATTTCTGTCTAGTTTGATTTTGTGTTATTTATACTCTTTAAATCTAATGGTAAAATGACATTGAACATTGTAAATATCAAGAGCCTTGGTGTTGTTTTTCTTTGTCTGCTGATCTCAGTCCCTTGTTACAGATTTTTCATTTCAAAAGCAAAATTTTAAAACAGATTAAATTTTAAAAACCATATGACAGTACATAAAATGGATGTTTTTAGCATAGCTAATGAGTGATACTTGCTAGAAAAATTGAATCTTTAACAAACAAATGAAATGAACAACTGTAAACATATGACATATAATAGAACACAATGTTACATAAAGCTTGCAATAATTATCATTCTCTTTATTTTGATTTTTTCTTCTAAAATTTTTTTTTTTAAAGAAAGTAATATGTTAAATAAGTAAGAAAACAACTTTGTGCACATTAATTTTTGATACAAGAAAATACATATTTCGACATAACAGAAAAGTCTCATTTTGACAAATCATATAATTTTTCAAACCGGTATCATGGAATGGTAAAATACTATTGTCAGCATTACATTTTATTAAATAAATCAAATGACAAACATTTTACATTTAAATTATCAGAAAAATAAATTTTATAACTTGATGTATAAATCACAGTTGATGTCGAGGATTTATAGAAAAAATAAAATGTCTACTTAAGCCAAAGTGTCAACACATCAGCCAAAGTGTCTTTACATTAGCTAAAGTGTCAACACATTAGCCAAAGTGAACAAAGTATAATGTCTACACATTAGCTAAAGTGTCTACACATTAGCCAAAGTGTCTACACATTAGCCAAAGTGAACAAAGTATAATGTCTACGCATTAGCCAAAGTGTCTACACATTAGCCAAAGTGAACAAAGTATAATGTCTACACATTAGCTAAAGTGTCTACACATTAGCCAAAGTGAACAAAGTATAATGTCTACACATTAGCTAAAGTGTCTACACATTAGCCAAAGTGTCTACACATTAGCCAAAGTGAACAAAGTATAATGTCTATACATTAGCTAAAGTGTCAACACATTAGCCAAAGTGTCTACACATTAGCCAAAGTGTCTACACATTAGCCAAAGTGAACAAAGTGTAATGTCTACACATTAGCCAAAGTGAACAAAGTATAATGTCTACACATTAGCTAAAGTGAACAAAGTATAATGTCTACACATTAGCTAAAGTGTCTACACATTAGCCAAAGTGTCTACACATTAGCCAAAGTGAACAAAGTATAATGTCTACACATTAGCTAAAGTGAACAAAGTATAATGTCTACACATTAGCTAAAGTGTCTACACATTAGCCAAAGTGTCTACACATTAGCCAAAGTGAACAAAGTATAATGTCTACACATTAGCTAAAGTGTCTACACATTAGCCAAAGTGTCTACACATTAGCCAAAGTGTCTACACATTAGCCAAAGTGAACAAAGTATAATGTCTACACATTAGCTAAAGTGTCTACACATTAGCCAAAGTGTCTACACATTAGCCAAAGTGAACAAAGTATAATGTCTACACATTAGCTAAAGTGTCAACACATTAGCCAAAGTGAACAAAGTATAATGTCTACACATTAGCTAAAGTGTCTACACATTAGCCAAAGTGAACAAAGTATAATGTCTATACATTAGCTAAAGTGTCTACACATTAGCCAAAGTGAACAAAGTATAATGTCTACACATTAGCTAAAGTGTCAACACATTAGCCAAAGTGAACAAAGTATAATGTCTATACATTAGCTAAAGTGTCAACACATTAGCCAAAGTGTCTACACATTAGCCAAAGTGAACAAAGTATAATGTCTACACATTAGCTAAAGTGTCAACACATTAGCCAAAGTGAACAAAGTATAATGTCTACACATTAGCTAAAGTGTCAACACATTAGCCAAAGTGAACAAAGTATAATGTCTACACATTAGCTAAAGTGTCTACACATTAGCCAAAGTGAACAAAGTATAATGTCTATACATTAGCTAAAGTGTCAACACATTAGCCAAAGTGTCTACACATTAGCCAAAGTGAACAAAGTATAATGTCTACACATTAGCTAAAGTGTCTACACATTAGCCAAAGTGTCTACACATTAGCCAAAGTGAACAAAGTATAATGTCTACATTAGCCAAAGTGTCTACACATTAGCCAAAGTGAACAAAGTATAATGTCTACACATTAGCTAAAGTGTCTACACATTAGCCAAAGTGTCTACACATTAGCCAAAGTGAACAAAGTATAATGTCTACACATTAGCTAAAGTGTCAACACATTAGCCAAAGTGTCTACACATTAGCCAAAGTGTCTACACATTAGCCAAAGTGAACAAAGTGTAATGTCTACACATTAGCCAAAGTGAACAAAGTATAATGTGTACACATTAGCTAAAGTGTCTACACATTAGCCAAAGTGTCTACACATTAGCCAAAGTGAACAAAGTATAATGTCTACACATTAGCTAAAGTGTCTACACATTAGCCAAAGTGTCTACACATTAGCCAAAGTGAACAAAGTATAATGTCTACACATTAGCTAAAGTGTCAACACATTAGCCAAAGTGTCAACACATTAGCCAAAGTGAACAAAGTATAATGTCTACACATTAGCTAAAGTGAACAAAGTTTAAATAACAATTAATTTTACTAAAATTAATAATCATATAAAAATAAATAATTTCATGATCGTCATCTCACCAATTACTAGATAAGTTTATTTTTTTAAATATTACACACAAAGATGGTTGTCAAAATATAAATTTAAAAAAAAAAGGCATTTTGACAAGGTACATTGATTTGGTATTGTAGTTGTAGTTAATTTGATTCTGTATAATAAATGAATTATTGCATTCAAGCTGTGTGAAGGGACTAGTTGAACAAGGTATGTGGAAGATTGAGGTCAATTCTGTATGTTGTTGAACTGTTACTTTGAGAGATGATGTTTAACTTAACATAAAATAACCTTTCAAGATTTTCTAGAAAATGTTTGGGGAAATTTTAAATATATTACTTCAACCCTTTGTAAGAACTCCATGTATAATGCAAAGCCCTAATTTTTTATTAAAAACATCCCTACAATGTCATGTCCATGTATTAAGCCATCTACAATTTCATGTCCATGTATTAAGCCATCTACAATGTCATGTCCATGTATTAAGCCATCTACAATGTCATGTCCATGTATTAAGCCATCTACAATGTCATGTCCATGTATTAAGCCATCTACAATGTCATGTCCATGTATAAAGCCATCTACAATGTCATGTCCATGTATTAAGCCATCTACAATGTCATGTCCATGTATTAAGCCATCTACAATGTCATGTCCATGTATTAAGCCATCTACAATGTCATGTCCATATATTAAGCCATCTACAATGTCATGTCCATGTATTAAGCCATCTACAATGTCATATCCATGTATTAAGCCATCTACAATGTCATGTCCATGTATTAAGCCATCTACAATGTCATGTCCATGTATTAAGCCATCTACAATGTCCCGCCCATTTAGATATTCCATCTGTTAATCTTGTTCTATGAAATTATTCATAATACAATACAAATAAATAAATGAAAGAAATATTCATTTCAAAATTTAAAAAAGTCAAAATCCTTTAAATTATTATTTTTATTTTAAATGAACAGTGGTCCTACTGATACAAATATGCTAATATCCTGTCAAAGGGGGAGCCACTTACATTACTTTCTTCATGCACATAGGAAGTTAACCCCCCAGACT